TGATAAAAAAGAAATGATAAAATTATGCACCCGATGGGATTTCTACTTAACATAGTAGGAACTTTCAAGAGATAAGCAGCCCCCTATACTGCTTTGATCCAAATAAATCATATATAGAAAGCTTCTTATTTGCTGAGTTGTGGCCTCTAGATCCACAGATACACATATGCTATTTTGAGTTTGGTAGATTTCCATATACATGGGTACAGGAAAGACAGTGTCAGGTTTATTAATAGCCAGAGATATAGCAAGTACGAAATTAATTGTCCCCTTACAAGTTATAGGAATCAAGTATGGGAACCTCTAGGTACTGTTGGACCCTAACTCTTAAAGTAATGAGAATTGAGAACTGCAGTCCAAAAATACTTAAAAGACAAATTTCCATTCCTGTTGTAGGTGTGAGTGAGTCACCAATGAATTATACAGGTATATATTACACAGGAGGAAATGGGCTTGCAATTTATTTTTCAAGGCTTTCATGGCCAGAATCACTGCATTGCTGTGAGATTTCCAGGCTGTATGTCCATGTTTGATTGATTGATACATATTTTAATTGCTTATTTGTTTAGATTGTTTTATATTTTGATGAGATGTGCTTTATTGTTTACCTGTGCAACACTGAATTTTTGGCAGATTTGTAAGCCAAATGAATCCCCTCCAGGGTCAAGAAAGGCAGGGTAGAAATGAAGTAAATACATAAATAAATAATCTCCCAGTAGCATTCTCTCTCTTAGTATTTTCACCTGCATCTGTGGCTGGCATCTTCAGAGGTTCATGAATCTCTGAAGATGCCAGTCATAGATGCAGGTGAAATGTTAGGAGAGAATGCTGCTAGAACATGGCCATAGAGCCTGAAAAACTCACTGGCTTGCAATTGTTTTCTGTGTTTTTCCACCCCACTTCCCCTTCCCAAACTAATAATTTTTGCAGGTTTAGTTGGAGGGCTGTTAGCTGTCATGCTCCTTTCTCTTGTAGATGGAAGAAATCAAGTGGCTGAATAGTGATCACATGAATCTGCAACAAACAAATATCCCAACTCATATTATGCTACCAGGAGGAAGCATGTGTGATGTTGGTGATCCTATCATTAGATAAATAAGGCAACAGATATGGTGAGCATGTGTTGGGTACTGATAGTACCCTAACTGCATCAAAGAAAGAATGTGATTCTAGAAAGTGATATTAACTAGACTTCTGGAGGGAATGTCTATGTCTTGCTCTAGAATTTGATTAAAACAATGACCAATTTAATATATTCTTCAAGACTAAGTGGAGGAAAGAATGTACTCTAGAGGGTTTTCATGGTCATGAAGATGATTTCCTTTTTACCCTATTTTCTCAATCTTCTTATTGAAATAATTAATTTTGCTCTTTTTCTTTCCACTTCATTATCATAATAAAATGTGAGGTCGGTCACAGGTTTACATAGTGGCTGGCCCAAGGTCATTCACTCAGTGTCATTGCTTAGTGAGTACTAGAACTATTCCCAAAGTCAATACCCTAACCTTAAATCCACCACAGTGCCTCTGCCCTACATGAAGGCTTATTTCATGGAGGGAAGTCAGCTGCCAGCCATTGGTAGTGCTGGCTATGCACAACCTTAATGTTTCTAAGCAGTTTATTGTTGCCAGAATCACCAACTGTAAGGCTATAAGCTTTCAGAGACATTTGTTGCTCTCTCATGAAAATGGAATAATGGAAATGATAGAACTCACTGTTTATAAAACAAGACAAATAAAAAGGTGAAAGTTTGTGAACTCTTATGTTGCCACGCTTGACATCCCTCCATATGAAGAGCTGCCTTCTACAGATGATGGAGGTGACTGTCCCTGTCCACTTAATGCTCTGGGGCTTCACTGACAAGACTCCCTTTTCTGTCCCATTTCCCAAAATGCCCTTGGGGGTGTCAGAGTGCAGTGCATAAAGTTTTATAGTGTCAGTTATTCCTCTGAGCCTGTGTTGACATTTTGGAATGAACACAAATCCATAATACTAATCATTGGACGTGCAGTCCCAGTGGAAGCTTGCAGTGTCAGCTGTGGCTGCAATAGTTTGAAGGCTTTATTAAGTCAGCTGGCAGAAATACCCAATCTCTCAGCATTAAATTTTATGGCAAGGGGAGTGGAGTGGTTGGACTGTTCTCTTTTTCTTCCTGTTACCTCCCTTATGTGGTCTGGCTTTCAAAATCAGACATTGATTTTTAAAATGCCCATGTGTGTAAGAGTGTTACTGGCAGCCACACTACACTGTAACATTTATGATGTCTATAAAGTCTTCTATCATGTTGTTCTTTTCTCCAAAGAGCTTTAATGCCAGGCAGCATGAAGGTTTCATGCTGAAATCTTCCATGGCAGCCTTTAGCCAATGTCATTCAAAACATCTCTGCATCAGGGCTGTTTTAATGCAAGTCAACATGAACATGGCAATAGTATTCTGAAATGTCGTGGGGGTTATGTGAAAATGAGAATTTTCCAAAATATGTACATTTTAAAATAAATTTGAGAAAGAACATATTTTTAAAAAAATAAAAAGGGAGACAAATGAAATTTGATAATTTTGTCCATTCAGATAGAGCAGGCATGGGTAAACTAAGGCCCGAAGGCTGCATGCAGTCCCTGGGGTACTTACCGCAGGTCCTCCTCTTTTACCCTGTCCTATTGACATAAGGACATGACAGCCTGCAGCAAATGAGAGCCATCTGGAGCACTCTCAGCCACTGCATGTCTCGTCCTCATCCCAGCATAAGGACGGTGCAAGTGGCCCCATCCTTATATCGGAAGGACAGCTCAAGGAAGGCATGTGGTGACTGAGACCCTTCAGGAGCATTCTCAGCCACCACCTGCCTTGCCTTCTTCCTGACATAATGCCAAGAGGACAGCCCAAGGATTGGGGCAGTTGTTGTGTGTCCCATCTTCCTCCAAGCATAAGGGTGGGGCAAGTAGCCCCATCCTTATGCTGTGAAGACAAGCTAAGGATTGCCCAGGCCATGCCCTGCCCCCTCCTGGTCCCACCTTCGCCTGGGCCCTACCCCTCATGGTGAAGCCATGCACCCCCAGCGAGTGAATGGTCCTGCTCCCTCCTGACCAGCCCTCCCGGCCGGGCCTGCAATACGGTTGCAAGGCAAAGAAGTTTGTTCATGCCTGAGATAGAGGATTTTCTGTGCTTAGTTCAGAAGTCTGACTTTGAATCTCTGTGTATTCAAACAATAACGCTAGATTTGGATTGTCATGGTTTTTTTTTTAAAAAAAAAAACAACAACAAGAGGTTGTAATCTAAATGGTAAGCAGGTGTAATGAGGAAACAGGGGGACCTCTTTACTTTTTTCAATGCAAGTAGTAGATAATTTTTGTTGGTGGTTTTGTATTAAAACTGATGTATAGTCACAAATTTATTTATTAGAATTTATTTATTAGAACTTGATTTTTTTCTTTAAAAATGATTTTATGAGAAATCATAATGGACATATTAGCATATTGAAAGGATATATGTATGTCCATTCTGAGGAATCGGCTATTGATCAAATAGCTTATGTTAGTGAACACAGAAGTAATATCCATTAAGACCATAAGTGAGTTCTTGAATACCTCATGGTGTCATTTAAAATAATAAACAAGCAGCATCCAGTCTGGTTTCTTTATGGCTGAGGAAGACTTAAAATAAAATTATATCTATTGTATTAACTGTCATTATCCATGGCAATTGACTATATATTGATTATAGTGACATAGCTCCAGTATTTGCCACTCAAAATGCAAGGGAATGATAAGCCACAGTTTATAAAATTCTTTTCATCCCTTATGAAATATCAAATTACCTTTGAACATTAAGACTGCACTCTTCCACTCCAAACATACAGTTACTAAAAGAAGTAGGCTGTAGAACCACAGCAAAAAGAAAAGAAAAGAAATAATTTTAATGTTTTGAAAATCACATTTTGAAGATGAATGGAAGCCACTCGGCAGACTTTAAACAGCCTCCATAAAATGAATTATTGCGAGCAATATTTAGTAACAAACATTTCGATTCCCTGTCATATTTGAGAAATATTGTGAGTTTCCTTGTCTCTGCTGATATCAGCCCAGTGATGTCGACCAGATGGCAGATGACAATATGATGACCAAAAATAGTGTAATCGTCACTCTAGTAAGGGAAGAATGGCTGTACACTTTTCAAAGATGGTTCAGTTTGGGACTCATTCTGTGTAAAATTTTGTACATGATAATTCTTTGCAGATATCACCCTTTTTTCTGCACAGGACACATTTTCTGTGCAAAAAGTAACATTAGCAAATGATGTTAACTGTAAAGGAAATGCTGCTGTCTTTAAAGAAAATGATCTAGCTGAGAACTTACCCTGAAAAAATTATGTGAGCTATTTTCTGTGCTTGAAATATTCTGCAAACATGCTGTTTTCTGCATGTAAAATTCTGTTTCTATGTATTGTTTCTAGCAATTTTTGTCCCAAATGAAATCCTTCTTACCCTGATAAGAAACATGTTCGCTCTGCTATTTTGAAAGAAATATTTTGTAATATCCCATCTACTCTTAATACAGAACTTTTGTAACCCATTACAACATTCCCAATGCTGAGAACTATTGTGCTCATACTGCTATCAGTCTTCAAGTAGCTCTCAACCAAATATACAGAGAAAAGGTTTGGTTCCCCTCCCTCTCTACTCCCTTGAGAGAACCACCTTACCCTTGTGAATAGCTGATATATTTAGTAGCCTTTCAACTGGTAGCATACTGTGTCCAACCTCTGCCCCAGGAACATTAGAAGCACTTAGATAAATGGAAGGCCAGATAAAGACTGAGACACATCACACGCAGTCACAGAAGCTTCCCAGGTTGATGCTACAAGTTTAGATTAGTCTTTGTTTAACTAGCGTTTAGATACTGGGGACTCAACTGTGGGGTTTTTTTGTGCTGTTTTTTTTGTTAAGAATGGCTTTCTCAAAGACCCTACCTTTCAAGTGACATTCAGAATCTTTTCTTTTGCAGCCATTCCGTAGAGTGACGTTTTCAGTTGTGAGTCAGCCCCAGGACCCACATCAAGGGTCATTGCAGAGTTGCTATGACAGCGGTCTGGAGGAGTCAGAAACACCAAGCAGTAAGAGTTCTTCAGGGCCGAGGCTGGGTGCCCTTCCACTCCCAGAGGACAACTACGAAAGGACTACGCCGGATGGCAGTGTTGGTGAGGCAGAGCATATGGAAAATGGTAGGGGCAAACACAACACCCACATACTCGACTCACACTAGTGACTCCACACAGAGTAGACTGGTCAAGAGGTCAGTTGGAAGGGGGAAAATGCATTTTTAAACAAAGCTTTAACTCATGAGGCAGTAGCAACCCAAAGGCAGGCTGCAGTCCTATTCATACTAAGCTGGAAGTAAGCCCCACTGAATGCTGTATGACTTACTTCTGAGTAGACATGAATAGGGTTGCACTGTTCAGCACTTCTAAACCTTGCTTCCATTACATGTAGTACTTGCCTTACACTTTGGCTGAAATTGCAGTGAGGCTTGGATGAGCTTAACTTTTGACTGAATGAAAAAAATTATGAAAGTAGGCAAATCTTGGAACTATTAAAGAAATAATTTAAACATTGCATAGTCAGTATAGTAATATATATTTTTAAAATATAAGCACAAAACTGGTCAAAGCATTTAAAATATTCCTTTAAAACTGGTAAGGGAATAGGTATGATTTTTTTTTTGGTCATAGTATCTATAGTTTTATTATTATTATTATTATTATTATTATTATTATTATTATTATTATTATTCAAATAATGGATTTAAGCAATATTTTGTTCACTGTTTTAATGCACATGTTTGCATGTGTAATTTTCTTCATGTATGCTTACTATAATAGTGACATAATATTTATGGTAAAAATAGACTGCATTTGCAGCTATATTCTATTGTCTGGGGCAGAACACAAAACAGAGAGTGGCCCCAAAGTAGATAGCAATTCTTCAACTGCATTTGTATGCTCACTCACTGGATAAAAGCCACTCTGTGGTGATAGCAATGACAAACACTTTGTCTTTTACATCTAAAGTTTTAATTCACACCTTTATTTAAAGATATTCCAATAAAGCTAAAGTCCAAAAAAGTGTTAATTATGGTGAAGAGAAGGAATAAAAAAGTTTTTTCCTGCCCCAGACTTCTGCAGCTTTGTAGAAAATGCCATCAACACCTTTCTTTTTTTAAAAAATATGGATTTATTGATGTCAAAGGCAAAATTAAAATGCATTTCCAAGTATTTAACTTCCCCACAGCTAAATGCATTTTTTCAGCATCTCCCATTTTTGTCCTTGGCCTGAAATGAACATTTTTTAAAAACTTTTTTTTTTACTGATTTACTGCCCCGTGCTTTTATTTGGTACATCTGGAATCTGTTGAAGGCAATTAAATCGGTTTCATTGATATACATGTTTCTGAAAATCAGAGATGCAGGCCACTGACACCAAATGAAACAATGCATATAAACCCATTTGTATAGATGTAAGAGCATAAGTGGATGGTGTATCAAGTTATCTGGAACCAAGTATAGATTGAATGACTGAGTTACAGTCTTTGTATTAGTTTCCTTTGGGGATTTTATATCAGCACTTAATTACATGTTCTAATGGTATTGTTGATCTTGACATCTCTGCACAATAAAAACAGAATATGTTGTAATGGTGGTAGGGAGAAAGTTTGTACAACATTTTTACATGAGGGTTGAAAATTGTTGCTTAAATTGTTCTTTTCATAGTACCTTCACTAAGGATGCAAATTCTCATTGTGCTCTTTGTTTTGCAAAGAATAAGGCACAATGGTGTTTTTGGAAATGAAAACAAAGAGGATTTAGATGAAGGAGACAAGTTCAACTAAGGTTGGATCTACATTACCCTACGTCCCAGGATCTGATCCCAGATGATCTTCTTTGAACTGGATTATTTGAATCCACTGCCATATAATCTGGGATAAGCAAATCATCTGGGACCAGATCCTGGGATATAGGGCAAAGTAAAGTGGGGCCAAGACTGGACCTACAGTAACTTTTAAAATAAGATCTCATTTCAGATTATCTGCTTTGAACTGAATTATATGAGTCTCCACTGCTATATAATCCAACTCAAAGCAAATAATCTATGATCAGAAACTGGATTATATGGCAATGTAGCTATGGCAAAAATTAAAGGGGCCACTCTTAGAATCAAGATTAATTTGCAGAAAACAAAGAAACACTGTGGGAGATGACTACTATCTCTTATATCTCCTATCATTTATACAGGATTGTCATATTCCTCCACTCCTTGTTATTATTTTTTGATATAGGTATAACTTCCACATATGCCATGTAATACCTCTTTTGTCAAGCCTGAAGTTAGTCTATGATAATATGAATGGAGTCCAGGCTTTTGGAATATATGTGTCAATGATCAGAAGGACCAAAAGAATATGGTGTGTTCATGGATGGGTCAAATACGGAGGATGCATCTATGCTGTAGAATTAATGCAGATTGACACCACTTTCATTGCCATGACTGAATGTTATAGAATCATAGGTGTTGCTGTTTTGCCAGGCCTTTAGCCTTCCCTGCCAAAAAGTGCTGGTGCTTCACTCACCTGCAACTCTAATGATTCCGTCACATTGAGCCATGGCAGTGAAAGTGGTGTCAAACTGCATTAATTCTACACTGGAGATCCACCCTAAGTCAGGCAGATAGGAACCTTGGGCCCACAAACAGGACGAATACTAGTTTGGATAAGGGAGGTCAAACAAGCATGAGAAAGTGTGCAATATAATAGCATAGTATAGAAGGATTGATTTTGTATAGCCGAGTTTCACTGGTTTGGGGCATTAGTTAACCATCTTAAGTCAGTGAGACTAGTTGACAACATCTGAATTGCAGCTGAGATAGCACCTGTAGTAATTCACCTGATCAATTGGTTGAAAGTTCAAGGTATTAGTACTGCAGTCTTTTAACAGATTGAAACACAACTACTGAAAGCCTTCTGCTGCTGCATTATGCCTGTGCATCTTGATAGAAATATGGCCAATTTAGTTGTACCGGATTCTTCAGCAGGTAAGGATGCATAGGATTTGAATATTGGTTTCAATAGTTACTATATGCAGAAGCACTGAGTCAACGTCAGACTATATATTAGCCCAAAGGACCTTAATGTCAACACTATGGCAGAATATTGTCACCTTAAGCTGCAGTGTAGCTTTAGAAGCCTTAAGACAAATTATGTGACATGAACTATGTAGACCTCTAGCAGAAAGCAATGGGCAAAGGCTTATGAGAAATGGCAGGATACTGCTGCTGCCCTCACATCTAGTCTCTGAGTCAGTCACATCACATTGCTGCTGTATCATGAAGTGCAGGGCAGTCCTTGATATAAATGACTGCACTGACTTGGTGTGGAGAGGTAGCATTCGAGCAATTGCATTGACACTTTTTTTTTTGTAAGACCATGAACAATGTCTATGCTGCTTCAATGACGTACTGGGACCGGAGACAGAATTCCAAAAACTGTAATTTTCTACTTTCAGAATGAAAGTTCTCTATAGTTCACAAATGTTCTAAACAGGTAGCAGAGTATCACACAAAAATGATTTTTTGCTTCCAGTTTTATACTGTTAATAATCTTAGGTCCCATATAGGAATAAAGTTAGGACATAAAACCAATCACTCAATCATGAAAAACCTCTATATTATCTGGAGAAAAAAAATCATTTTCATTATAATTCCCAAAGCCTCACTGATATCAGTTTCTCTAGGAAATATAAAATTTTCCTCCCCAAATATCAGACAGTTGATTATCAAAAGTTCAAATGTAAATATCCCACTTTATCTAGAGATCATAGCCATATTTAGATTGTTACTCTTGAAATAAACACAAATACTGTTGGATTTTACATTAAATCATGAACCTTACAGCTAATCAAAACTGAAATGACCCAGTTGAATCAGTTAGATTTATATAAGTTTTGATTTACCCTGTAGTAGATGGTTCAGTGGGTCTATTCCAGCTGGACTAGCAATGGTAGACCTTAGTCTTGTTCTCATGGTTGTGTTGTTTCTCTGAGCCCCTTGTCTGTTAAAAATGATTGCCTGTCTTGATAAGTCTTTTGTATATGTGGAGGCTTCCCCTAAGATAACAACCATAGTCTGTTTCACTCCTTCAAAATAGTTTCTGTCCTCATAACAAAAATGTGTCCATATACCAAAGCCCATCTAAACACAACTAGAATTCATGGAAGTTCCTATATATGAATATTTTCCCTACTTAGGACCACTAGTTGTGTACAAAGGATGCACTTATAGGACTTATCTGGGCAACTAGTTTGCTGATTGAGAATAAAACATTAACACGAGTTCTCCAGAAAGTGGGTGACATACATAGTGATAAAAGCTATACCGTGCCAAAATTGGTCTTCTGCCATTACTGTCTAAACATGACTTTTCAGTAGCAGCATGTCATCTGCCTCCAATAATTTCTGTTGGCACTGGCCTGTAGGTAATGACAGAACAAGAAGCAATGCACTTTTGCTAGTCTGAAAATGTAACATTTGACATTTGAGTGAGGGTTTTCCCCCCTACCCTTCCCATCATACTTCAATTCCAGCTTTTAAGTCTGCTTGTTCTAGCTTCTGGAATCGATCTGTATCACCTAAAAATCTATTTAGTTTCATCTCTGAAATTAATAGATTATTCTGACATCAAAAGCATGGGAACTGAAACCTGTGGACCACTCATTTGTCACATTTAATTGAAATTTAGGTAATCTCTAGTATTGTGCATGGATGGGTTTTAATCAGAAGCTTCACTGGATTTTCAATCACCTTTTCCCCACTACCTCTATAGGGACTGTCCTTTGAAAAAAAAGCTTCCTGCTGTAGTGGTTTGAAAATTGGACTATCCATATTATCATACTAGGGCTTTAATGTGGGCACCACCATTCTTCTGGTACCTGCAGAATTCTGGGAAATTTAGTTTAGGGTGAATACTCAACTACAGAGGTCCTTGCCTTCCCAAACTACATTTCCCAGAGTTCTACAGGTGGCGGAAGAATGGGCTTGCCACCATTAAAGCCCCAGTGTGATAAGAACAATATGACTCTGGAGTTCATATCCTTTGATCAGACATGGAAATCCCCTGAGTGATATTGGACAAATTACACTCTCTCAGTCTCAGAGGAAGTCAAAGGCACCCCTAT